AAAAAAAAAAAAAAAATTGCATAACGATATTACAGCTTTTATTGATTTATTTCAAACTTGAAACTTTGTTTAGCCTGTAAGGTCTAAAAAAATTAATCGATTAATCGAATCGTGGCGCATTCTTGAGTATCGAAAATAATCGAATCTTTGGGTCAGGAAATCGATACTGAATCGAATCGCCATGATGGGTGTGATTTACACCCCTACCTGTTAGACAACCATATCTGTCACTATTTGTGCTAAAGTGTTTTAGCACAAATAGAAAAACTAAAGTTTTTCTATAGTTTTTAAATACAAAAAAAACTAAAGTTTTGTTTGTATTTAAACTAACGATTGTTTTGCGGATCCATGGATCTGTTGATTATTTTTTAATGAATCGATTAATAATCAGATAGCAAAAGGTTCCTAAAAGAAGACTTTTTGCTAAATTCAACGAGATGAAACTCAAACTTTTCCACTTGAGGACTTCTGGATTTTAATTACTGACAGACGAAAATGACTTTTATCTTATTTGCAAAATGTTTACTTATGTTTTTTACAATTTTGGTATAATTGCTGCTCAAGGTGGTGCGCTCTTCCAGCTAAAGACATGTATTACAGTCTCTAGATTCCAGTTAATGACTAATCGATTACTAAAATTAGTTGAGGATAATTTCAATAATCGATTAATCATGATTAATCGATTATTATAATCTAATTTTTTCAGTCCTAATTAAATAAGAAAAAGGCTGCTTTTCAAGAACAAAATCAAACCTGCTGCAAAACACAAACTATGGAAATATTGCATTTTCATTAAATACTTCCAGCTTAAGTTCTTCCTACACAAATATCTTTTTTTGAAGAAGAAATGTGGTATCTAAAACCATTCATATGAGGACCTAAGCTAGCCTGCCATCCAGCAAACTATCAGGAAGTACACACAGAGAAAGGATGCAAGCTGTTAACTAAAAAAATCATCAAAAGGCTAATTTCAGTAATTATAGGTGTTTTCAGGCCAATACTGCTTATTTTGACAGCAGTCTAACCAGTCCCCAATTTGTGCTACCGATAATTTTAAGCCGATTCTTAAGGCCGATATCGCTTTATCTTCCTCTCATTTATATGATAAAATGATCCAATATTAGAAAATCTTGTCATTTAAAAGAAAAAAGATTATATATATTTTTTTCTTTTTTGTATAAACCAGCAATAGAGGAAGCGGGAATGCACACAAGATCTCAAGGCATGGCTGCTGACAGTCCTAATGAATTGGTTAACACGTCTACCTATCAGCTGATATAAAAAATATGAAACCTGAAAATGGGCCAAAAACCTAATTCGCCCAGCGTATTGGTCCATCTCTAAATTATTTAAAAGCACATCTAATGTATTTATTTGTTTATTTTAACTACTATTAGTGAAGGGTCAATAATTAGTTTATATAAAAGGGAATTTTAACTTTAAGAATTCTGCCTAATCCTTCATGGGGAGACCCCTTGCTGTATAGCTGGATAGTCACAAAAGGACATTGCTTAAGAATACACATTTTGTTAGAGTGCTAAAGCTTAGTACAAGAAAAGGTTTCTAGAGGGAAAGCTTGTCTCCAAACCCCCAACAGGAGCACGATAAGAGACGTCAGGAATAAAATGATCATCTTTAGCAGAAGGGTTACCATTAACATGAACAATTAGATGATTTGTGATTCCCTGAGCTGAACTACTCACATAAGATGTGTGGAGTCAGGAGTCCAGTCTGGTCGATATTTGGCTCCCATTTCAAGTGCCTTTTCTCTCAGCTCCCCTCTGAAGGGGTTCTGGAAGCCACTCAGGACAAACACCACCCCCTCCAGGATCTGTTTAAATGGAACTTGCTGCTCAGTCTTAGTCTTTGTCTTGGGTTTGGGTTTAGGTTCTGCTTTGGCCTGGCTCTCCCTCTTCTTCTCAGCAGATTTCTGTGCTGATGATGCTGCAACAAGAATAGGATTTGGATTTTTTGGGGGTAGCCACAGCAGGTTATTATGAATTGCTGGTCATACTTGGCAATGTTTTTACCCCAGATGCCCTTTCTGCCAAAAAAGATCCCCTTTATTGTAGTTAAAGATGTAAACCACAAAACGATTGATCTTTTCTAAAGATAAATAAGAAGATGAACGATCAATGAACTGTTACCTTTGGCAGTGCCTGGGCTTGGTGTGCTGACTGGGCTTTGTTTGTGTTTAGAGGTTGTAACTTTGGTCTCAGGCGAGGCAGCCGGGCTCATTTTCTTTGCTGGAGGTCCTGGAGCTGACTGCCGCTCTTTGCTAAACTCAAACTTCCTTTTTGCTGGGGGCTAGATAAAGAAAAGGCAAAATATTTTAAAAAGTATTTTATCTTAAACAAAATGCAGTTTGGTTACTTTAACATGAAAATATTTCTATTGTTTGGTTTTTGTTTCTAACAATCAGACTTTACCATTTTCTTTATAAAACATAAAAAAAGGCCAAAATACTTTCTGTAAATTAAACAGCTCTAAAAATAAACGATATACAATCAAAAACAGATTTTTCTAAATATTTTATCAAAAATAAAACATAGCCTTTCCCTCATTGCTAATTATTTAACAACACAAAACACTCGCTGTTTTAGATCAGCTGTGGTTTCAAAAAAGATCAAATTCAGTCAAATCTAGAATAATGAAAACATTTTAATCTTTTTTTTTTTCTTTGGCTTTCATAAACTTGGAATTAAACATATATTTCTGGTACAGCTCCCCTTTAAACTGTTTGACCTGGGTCACTCATTATGGCAAGCCTTCCACAAGCCTCTCACTATGTTGCTTGGATGTCGGCCCATTCTGAACCGACTGAGTGACCTTGTCAGTTCTGCCCACATGTTGTCAATGGATGAAACAGGACTTTTCAAAGGCCGCTCCAAAACATTGAATTGTTGTCTCTATGTCCATTTGTAGAAATTTAAGCCCAAATTAACTTCCAGCCCTGCTTAACTGAATAAAAGCTACGTCACTGACATTTAAAATGTAGTTAAATGCAACATATGTTAAAATTTTTATACATTGCCTGAATCCACAGTTAATTTTACCAAAATAACTGTAATCAAAGGCTAAAATTTAAATAAGTGATTAAAGCTGTGTGGTAATCAGGGAATTATTTTAGTGCAAAGGTTTCAGAGAAAAAAAAAAATGAAAGACTAGATAAAAAATTATCCTGCTTTGTAATCCAGTGTGGATCATCATCAACTCTGCACATGCATTTTACATTCGCAATAATAAAAAGGAGCAGTTCTCCTTTCTGCTCTCTTTGCTCTGACTGCATTCTGAGCTTTTATGCAGAGGAAGCTGCCTGCGAGGCGAGGCTCTCACTACTGACCGTTAGGAGACAGTAACGGCGGAATGACTGCTAATTTCTCCTTAAGTTGCTAAACTCACAAAACAAAAAGTCACTGGATTTATCTCTATCTGCTTTTTTGAAGCACATAGAACATGCAAGAGAAAAACAAAAAAAAACAATAATGTTTAAAAACATTGGAGAGAAAAACAACAAACTCTCAAAAAGTGTAAAAACTGTTATTGTGACAAAAAGAAATGTGGAATTCTTAATCTAAATTCTGAAGAAAAAAAAAAATCGCTCCAGTAAAGAGGACTTTCTAAAATTAGCCGCTGACATGGCTGTGAGTTGTTGCACAACATGTTCGGAAAGAGGAGAAACCTTTCACTTCACTTTGAGAACAAAGGAAGGTCATCAGAAGGTAAAGAATGCAAAGATTACTTATGCAGCATTTCCAAGAAACTATGTATTACATATTTATTTAGAACAAATTACTGCTTAGTCAGGGAATGTTGCTCTTTTAAGATGAATATTCTAAAAAAAAGAAAATCTAAATCAGTTTTTTTCATAAACACTGAAAAACTGCAAATGGCTCTCTTTAAAACACCAAAAGGAAAAACAGGTATTTCCTTCCCGAAAGCACCCTATTTAGATTGCATCACTAATGTAGATTAAAGCAGAAAGGGTTGCCTTTTCTCTGCCCTTAATAGAATATCTGATTTTTAGGAAAATCGTTGGATTAAATTCATGCATAACATCATAAACTGTTAGAAATGCATTGAACATTTGTTTTTCATCTAAAATAGCATTTGCTGCAGGCTGCAAACTCCCTTCAAACTTTGCTTCCTAGTTTTATCTCCTCCACTGCCTCCTTGGCCTCATGTGGACTAAATAGAGGAGGACCACAGTTCCCTGATGAACAGGTGCTTGGTGGGTGCCCTTCAGAGCAGAAAATGATGAGGTTATTTAGTACCTGTGGTGAGGCAGAGACGGAGGTTGAAGCTTGACCTGATGATTGAGAGCTGCCTCCTGCTTGCAGAGCAGCAGCAGCGTAGCTCAGCTTGTCACTTGGTGGAGAGGCTAAAGATAGAGAAGAGCAACACACTGTGAGGGAAAACAAGGTAGTCATTAACATTAAGACCCTCCTAATAATAAAGCAAGTCTTTCAAATATCTTGTCCCTCGGCACAGTGTAGTGGCCTAAAATGAAACCTCATTAGAATTCAGTTATAACTGCTTTATAATCACAAAGCTGCCAGAAGAATTGATTGGGTTTGTTAACTTAAATAAAAAGCTTTACCTTTGAGTGAAGTGCTTGGCTTTGTTGCATTGTCTCGGTTGAAGAAGAGACTGCCAGGTTGAAGGCTGGGCCCAGATGAAGGAGACTCATCTTTCACCCTGAACTGTCCAAGCTTTGTTATTTTCTGGCAGGAAAGAAGGATGAGTTCAGTCCCCAAGCAGAAGATACAGGGACCCAATTAAGTGACTTTGGTTCAGACTAGAAAGGAGCCTTTCAATATTAAAAATACATATTTTAACACTCCCTATTGAGCTTGCCCTGGATTCCAGTCTAGCCTGTACAAAGCCTTCGACTCAAGCTCTACAATTAACAGGGCTACAAAGCCTTATTAATACAACAGCTTTTATTGAATTAAATCAATCTCAGACTGACAATTTCATGAAAAGTAATGGATTTAACATGAGTTTATTTAGAAAAAGAATATTAATAATAATCCCTTGTGGTGCAATTACTACCAACCTGTCCAAATAAGGTGGACCAGCGGCAGAGCAATAGCAGTGTGGGAAGGGGGGTGTCGATATATTGTGATTTTTGGGTGTCCAATATAATATCGATCTTCCAGTTCCTAATATTGATTTAAAAAACTAAAACATTGAGGGAAAATGGGCTACCTCTGCACCGCCACTCTGGCAGATAGCGCCATGGAGCCCTTTTGCTGTGCAGCTGAACACCAGTGCTGTAGTTGAGGCAGTAGAAGACGTAGACTGACTCAAACCCCAAACAACATGGATTCTGAAGAACATATACAGCACTTGCCTTTTTATCTATACATTTCATTTGGATAGCTTGGAAAGATATTTTAGTATATAATGATATTGGAATATCATTATATGTGACCCGAGTATCGTGACACGTATCGTAAAACACATGCCAATACTCACCCCTACAGTGCAAAGGACCCCTGTCCACTCCTATGAGGTCATTTTTTATTTGTTAGCATGCTATCCATAAACTGACATCAACCATAGACTGAGGCAACAGTGGCATTGGGTGAAGGAGTTTGTCTTGCAACCAGTAGTTGCAAAGAGGGTTCACCTGTCTCAGTTGCTGTGTCCTCAGCAGCTTTTGGTAGAGTGTTGCTTACCACCTGTACATTTGCACGTGACTGACTGAATGCAGCGTAAAGCAAGTAATGGCCTTCTACCAACATAAGTGCGGTAATACATTATTTACATCAATATAAAAAGACTAAAATTTACTGTTTTCTGGGCCTAAAAGGTTCTTGCCATCCCAGAGTTTTCATTGGACCCTGCTTGGCCATCAGTCTGAAACCTTTCTAGCTCTGTCCCTGATGTGCACAAGGATCTTCTACAAGGTTTAAATCTACAGTAGATACCCTGTTGGCCATGCAAGGTTTATGTCAGGGTAGGGGAATTATTTCTGTTTTTTTATGGACACAACAAAAGAAGAACATCCAATAACCCACTATTATTTTAATGGTAAGAATCCTCTAAACTTTTGAAATTATCTTGTACTTTTACAAGGCTCATTATCCATCAAATTAACAACATTTTCAGGGGGTTCAGAGGAAAAAAAAGACCCACAGCACATAAAGTTTTAACACAATGCTCAACAGTGAGGATGAAACACTAGTCCAAATATTTAGACAGTTAAATCCTAAATCCAAGACTCATCAAATCACAAGGTTCCAGCAGCAATTAGCCAAAGAACCAGTTTTCCCCTGAGATTCCTCTTTGACAACTGCATCTAGACGGCTCCAATAAATGAAACCATTTTAAACTGCAAAAGCATTTGGAACTACATATATTTAAGAAAAAATGTTGCTTAGATAAAAAAAAA